CGCCCACCCCGCCGCTGCCCCCGCGGGCGACGGCCGGGCCCGCGCCCCGGCAGCCGACACGAGGACCAGTCGCGCTTGCCGCCTCTTGCCAGCCTGTTTTTGCGTGGCTCAGCGGACTGCCGACGGAAAATGCCGAAAGTAAGCGAGCTGCCAGCGAAGAGCTGTTGGGTTTTTTTGCCTCCCCCCTTTCGCTGCCGCTCACGTCGCAAATAGCTACAGCTACGCGTTTTCAAGCGGTATTGTGACTTTCGAGTTGATCGTAGCTCTCTCTATGTGTTTACCACGTGAAACGCTCGGAGTGTTTTGGCTCAGGAAGGAAACGCTCATCAAAAAGAAGGCTCTGTTTTATGTGCCTTAAAGCGGGGAGAGTGGAGAGAAGTGCTAATCGTATGGATCGCAAACCGTATATATTCTGCCAGGACAATTTATGCGATACCCAGCCTCTTCTGGCAGCATTCTTTCCCCACGGCTGCAGGCTGCACGAATTGTTCTGGCTGCAGCCGTCCCAGCTACCGTCTTTCACAGGGGCCGTCCAAATCCTCTCCTGACAGCGGGAGCTGCCTGCCGGTGCAGCTCACGCTGCCACGGCCTAAGACTGAATTACCTTACTCTCTGCAAGACGGGGTTTTATGCACACGCGCTAATGCGCACTACAGCAGACACCTCTGGGAAATTTCCAGTCTCCTGAGACTGTGCAGTGGAGTACGCTGCATGTGAACACCGGGCAGGTCTAGCCAGCGCGTGGCTCTGCCTTGACAGTGGTACAAGCTGCCCGGATTATCCAGCTGCAAAGTTTGGGGAACGCTCATCCGAATTATCTTGATGTTTTGTAGGTTGAAGTTCTGTCAATGAACGCTTCAATTAAGGGACTTTCTCTTGATTTTCACCTTTTCACTTGCATTATCCTGATCTGTGTGATACTGCTTGCTTCAGAGGAGTACCTGTGTTTTTATGATTAAAGCAGCAGTCTCTGAGGAAGCCAGGTCTTTATTGCTTTGAAGATCAGAAGCAAGACTTAGGCATAGTGAGGAAATAATCTGCAAACCATTGGGGGCAGTGAAGCTGCTACTATTGAAGAGGACTGTCTCGTTTTGCCAAAGCCGGAGTCTCCGCGTTCTTTACACGCTTACCCAGAGGTTCAGTGAGTTACCGGTAATTTGCTCTGCTAGGGAAGGGCAGGGGAACTGCACTGGCCGGATCTGTACCAGGAGGAGAAGCTTAGCTCGGGAAAAGAAGAGGGTGCTTTTGCCATTGACCATCTTGATCACTCGGACAATGACAAAAAATAGAAAACTGAGGTGCTGTAGTATTTAAATAAATGTCTGAAGATGCTATCACAGATAGGTAAAGATGTTACCCCAGTTTTAAATGTTTTCCCTGCTCCAGCCATCGTCATTTTCATTTTGGCCAGATGGCATCTGAGTCAGCTGATTTTCATCCAGGTGCTGACAGGCATTTTGATATCCTTGAGAAGACAGCAGCAGCATCACTAACAAATGAGATATGCTGCAGCATCTTTAGCATATTCTTGCCATTACAGCTCATCCCTTCACTAGCAAATTACGCTGCATAGGCTCTATATGTGAGGACCCACCAAGGTCCAATAGCCATTACTGCCCTGCGGGATTTGGTGGACGAGGATCAGCTGGTCGTTGCACGTAGTCCAGCAAAATCCTACACGTACAGACATGGCACCACATATATGTGTGCAGCAATGCATGACACTAGTTCTCAAATAAGCACATGCTCTGAATACACATGCAGCCTGATAGATTTGCATGAATGCTTATACCCAAACACTCTCATAATCAAAAAAATAACAAATAGAAGTCAACAGCGCTGTGAAACATTAGGTGAAGCACTTCCACGGTCCTAGCATTACATGTCTAAGCGAAGATAACAGAAACAAGGACTTAGGGCTGGACATTTGCATTCTCGTTCACACCACTTACACAACTTATGCTATATTAAACAAGTTAGTACTCATTCACTAATTGCAGAACATACCAATGTAGCATAGATCGTATATGTTATGTGTATATATTTACTTAGCATTCAGAGCATCTACTTTTATTCTAGCCCTAATCTTTGGTTTGCCTTAATTTTCCTACATAAAATCCTTTGGTTTTCTTATATAAAATCCTTCCATGCTGAAATGCCTCATATCACTGCTCATACAAAAGTAGTTTGTCTTCTTCCTTTCAACACAATTGGTTGAAAAATCAAATCATGCAAATATGAAAAGATGTTCTGTTTGGATATGTTAGAATATTTCAGCAATGGCGCAACCTAGAAAATTCAGATTTCATTTGTTTTGCTGATCTGTATAAGATTTAAAAAAATAGCTATACTCTCTTAAGAAAGTCAGCTCAGCAGTTTTAGAACTATACACATTTAATGATGTAGTTTCAGTGACTCACAGTGGGTTTTAATCCATTTTTCTACATATGTGGGTTTTAATCCATTTTTCTACATATTTGTTGGGAACTATCGATTAGGAATATCCTACCAAGACCAATCTTTTTTCTGATAAAGCCTAAAGCTCTGTAGCAGATGTATAGTTCCCTCATGAAACTTGCATATTCCCTGTCTACATAGACTCAGAACTAAAAATGAGAGGGTCATTTCAGGATAGAAAAGATAAATTTCTGTTAGATCAAAGGCTCTCACGTGCTTTTAATGGAAATCACTTTTTCAGATGGTAATTACTTCTGGAACCACATATCATTTCACTCCATAATCACTCCAATTTCTAGATGAGATAGCGGCATTTCTGTAGCAACTGCAGCAGTTGTTTTCAATACACATTCAAAACAAGTCACTAAATTTAAATCATTACGCATCGTAAGTTTCTTCCCTCGCGTTTACGGTGTGCCTGCATTGCAAGGGCTTGGTGTATATAGATTGATGGTTTTGCCCGTCTGTAGTGATAATTCTTACCCTGAGGATGTAGGCTCTGCTCAGGTTATGAATATGTACCTGCCTTAGTTGTAATTCTCTTTATATGGCCAGCCTGCCATACCATTGCAGCAGTGCCTGTAAATTGCAGGGTTTGAATACCGGATTTGACTGCTCTTCCTCAAATCCCACATTCCTGCATCTTTGAATACCCCTGGCAGCCTCCTTCTCTACTCCTAAGCAGACTGATATATTTGGCATTTAACTCTTTGTTTTCCCTTCAGGTTGTTCCAGACTACTGGCACATTTCCTGCTCTCAGCTAACCCCTGCTCTGCCAGCGTGGGATGTTTTTCTAGCACATTGCTAACGTGCCAAGAAGCATATGTATATCTTTGTGAATATGGAAGTTATTTTCCAAATTTTACAGCTTCTGACCCAGAAACAGGAATATTCATCACTGCAGCATAATTTCAGACCTGCCAAGAATATATCAATTATGTCATGTGGATGTGCTAAGGGAAAGGATGAAAGCGGGAGTACAGCAATTCCCCCTGCTCCCTGCACTAGCTATTCAGAGAGCGATGAAGTACATCCTTGTGCAGGTAAGACCAAATCCACTGATGCCTAATTCATTCTTGCTGAGGACCCATCCTCACAGAGAGGAGTGAAAGGTCTTACATTGTGTTTCCACAGTATGTGAGATTGCCAGCCCCTGAATTTACAATGAAGCTAGAGCAACTTGGCCAACAACTTGCTCTGCCAGATCTCCTTAAGGATGTTCTTTGACGCCCTCCGACTATGAATGCAGAAGAAATCTGGAGCCTCAGGAAGGTGTTCTGCACACTGTGACTGTTACAGTTTTGAGGGACACTTTGGTTCAAAGGAGGGGTTCTTAATTAAGGGTAACTTGGGCTTCCTTCAATGTTACTAGGTACACTTAAAGCAAAATGCTCCAAAGGAAGTTTACACCAGCAGCCAACACTTCACCACTGCCACCCTTCCCTTCTTGGCATTAGACGTTTCCCAGGATAGCCACTGGTCAAAAAAACCATGTAAACATAGAAGCAAAGGGTTTATATGTTCCCTATTGATTTTGAACTACACTTATTTCACCACAAACCTCTCAAGAGCCATAAAGTTGCAAGGTGGGTTTTTTTTCTGATGTTTTGAACACAATTTAAAGAAACAGGTACATTTTGGCTATGCTTTTGCTGTTAGTATTGCCCCTTGACAGGATAGCATTTGTCAAATTCTCTATGGATAGTGGGTATATATTCATAGGAGGTGGCAGGTGCTGTCTTGTGATCAATGTTCTGCTGAATAGACATGTTTTTTGCAGAGATAAACTACGGACTTCCTTAATGGGCAAGTCCAGCTGCTCAGTTCTTGGCCTTCATCTCCCATGATAATTCGGGAGAGGGTGTAGTCTCTTGCTATCAGGCAAACAGCAGTTTTTTCAGTTGCTTATAATTGTTCTGCAGATTATTCCATATTTGTAGAAGATACCACCTGCAAATTTGTGATCCAGAAGAAATTGCTAATTACTGTTAAGTAAAATTCTTACTGACCTGCTTCTGTAATTGACTTTGTGATCCTTCTGTGGGTATCTGGCCGCCATCATGCTCATTTTAAAGGTTTCCACGTCGAGAGAAGTCCTTTGCTTTTCTACACAGGTGTTCCAAATTTTTTTGAATCCATGACAGATTGCTCAACCTAAGAAAAGCAAGGTATTTTATACTATCTTGATTTGCTGCACTTCTGAATACTTGATGATGTACAAAAATTGAGTAGAGAAAAAAACAACAAAAAATTTTATTGCATATTTTGTTCTTGTATTTTTAGTAGTTCAGCAATGGTTTTTGATTGCTACACATGAACTATGGAAGGAATGAAACTCAAAATTGATGGTATAGTTGTCTGACATTAGATTCCAGTCTAGTCACACATTTGAATGGAAATACTACTTGTGTAGTCAAAGTTATTCAAATGCATAGCTGTTTAAAAAACTATATAGCAAAACACTTTCAGGGTAGTTGACTTCATTATCTGCGTGCTTACCATAATTGAGAGGTGATCAATATTATACTGATGTTTGTTTGTTCTTACTGTATATTGAGACTCTGAATCACTTACCTTTTACAGAATAAAGAAGATTAAAACCAAAAATTGTGATGTTTTTTAATTTCTCTTTTTAGGTCTTTTCTACAGAGATCTCCAAGTTAATTACAGCTGTTAATTTAAAGTAGACTAAGCTATATTAAATGCCTCAGTATGTATTCTTCTTCAGAATTAAAAATGACCTTAATTCAATTTAGCCTAACTCACTTTGGAAGTGGAGTAGGCTATGTTAAATGAAGGTCACTTCAATTCTAACTAAGAGACTTCACACAAAGAGTTCACCAGGCTTTTGTACATACTCTGCACCCAGTAAATTAGGAATGATGAAGGACTAGTAGTCACATATCTAAATCTAAGCTTCACTGTATTCTGCTCAAATGCATGTCCTGTAAATTGTGTCCCACTGTCACATATCATTGTATTAGGTAAAGAAGTCTAGTGAAAAAGCTTTTTAATGCATAATCAGCTCTTCAGCTGTAATATGTTTAGTAGTGCCATCTAAAAATAGAAAAAGATGTTTTTCCTGGTTTATTATTTATATCTAGAAGCACATTTTTTAAACAGAAACAAAATCATTTTCCTAATACCCATTTATCTTTCTACAATCTGTTGATTTTCTCTTAGGGCTACAGCGCAGTTCCTGGAAATAGTAGGAGCTGTGCACACATGACTAATTGAAGGTAATACGTCCCATTTGCTCTCATCGTTATTATTTCTTCTGCACACACGCATCTTTTTTCTGCAAGTGTCCTTTGTTCTTAAGAAAACAGTCATCCAAGGCAGAGGTGTCAGCAACATGCAGTTTCTTCATGGTTCAGACCCCTGGCGCTTGCAGTCAAATTAAGACAAGCTTTTGCCTAACGTTCAGCTTCTCCCATCTGCTTTATCTGTGTTGTTATTTCTTGCTTATGATTTCAAGCTCTGTGTGCTTTTCTGCATCTAATATCTTTGTCTTATGCTATTTTGAGCTCTTGGTCATATCTAAGGTGTCAGAGCACTGTCCAGTCCAACACTTATTCATGTATTAGTTTCTTGGCAGATTCTAAATTGCCTCATCTGGAGTCTGCTTCTCCCAGGAGTCTGTTTCTGTATTATTTGCTCTACTTTCTGTTGAAAAACAGTGGCTTTTTAAAATTGGAAGTTTGTTTTTTTTAATCTACAAATCTTCATTAGATCTTACCCTAAGGCGGGCTGATTCCATGCTTTATTGTAACATCTGTAACAGATGAAATTGTCTCCCCAATCTTATAAACTACAAAATACTTTAAAACCTTCAGGTTCAAAGCATATGACTTTCATATGCTTCATTTTTATTTAGAATGCAATACTCCTCAATTTTTTGTAACAGCTTCATGAATATCCTCCTTTGCTTGGATTGCTGAAAACTGTTAAATATGCCAAATGCATCAGCACTTGCTGTTTTCAGAAGGAAAACCTCTTTCTGGTTGACTTGCTTTTAAATAACACTTACTGCTTCCATTGTACATTGAAGTGTTCTTGCCTTCTTTTCCAGTAGTTTCTGGTATTTCCAGAGTTTGAGCCTTTAAATGCTCCAATTTCTTCTCAGTGTCTGTCTTTGATTTCTTTTTATTGCTAGTGCCACGAATGAGGAGTTGTTCCAGGCTCAGAGGATTACAGTGGATGTTCTTTAATCATGTGTGTCCGCAGTGCCTTTTCCTCACACTTACAAGCCAGAAAGCTAAACCTCTAAAAGAACATTTAGACCGGTAATGTTTCATTAGGAGAAATAATAAGCAAAAAAAATTACAGTATCATATTCATAGGTGTGATTCTATTAAAAAAAAAATCCTTGCAAGAAACAAACAGTAAAAGCTACTTTGTATCTGAAAAAAAAAAAAAGAGCCAAGAAACCAGCTTAGAAAGTTTATTTAGTATTTGTAGATCTATTTTTGGTTTGTGTTTGACTGACAAAGCTAGAAGGAGAAATATCTATGGTGCTAGCCAAGAAGAACATATTAATCCTCAGCAACACAAAGAAGAAGTGGCTATTTCAAGTGGTTGTAATGCAAATGCCAATGTAAAAGCTTTTTCCTCTCAACTCCACAATCTGAGAAGCCATTGGCAGAATGTGCTTTGATATTAGCAGATGTCCTGTATATTTGATAGATGCATGACTGATCCACCAAGACAGAGAAATTGAATGTTTTCAAGCATTTTTTTAATCTCATGAAACAGATAACTTTTTGACTTCTACTTACATTTAGTCCAAGCTAGATTTCCTTTAAACTCAGTTTCACTTCTGAAATGTTGAGCTAATAGTTGAAATATGTATAGTGCTTCCAGTGAGGCACTTATATTTTTTAATCCATATTAAAAGATGGTAACTATGTGAAATACAGGTTTTTTTCACAGGAAATGTGAAAGACAGGGCTTTTTAATTGGTATTAGGTATTACCTTTCTAATCACCACATTTACATGAAAGAACTCCATTCATTCCATTTTGTGCAAAGGGCAGATCCATTCTGAAGAATATATTAACCAATAAATGTCTATGTATAAAAATTACCCTCAAGCATTTCTCGTTTCCAATGCTGTAATTCCTTTCAAATAATTTATGGTAAAGACAATCAATCAGGATCTCTGATATATATATACATATATACATATACAGAGGATGTATAGAAGCCTGACCATGTTAGGGATAATATTTGCACTTACTTGTTATGTCCAGGTGCAACATTTTAACTCAGAGGTGATGGGATTTTATGTGTATAACACTTGAAACAGCTGCTTTTTTGTCCTTTGATATCTCTCCTCAGAAATCTTCCCTTATGTCTACTTTATTTTTATAACAATAAAAAATATCCTCTGATTTAAACATAATTTTCTTTTGTTCCTCCTAGTTTTACTTCTTTATATTGCTAAAATTAAAAAAAAAAAAGAAAGTATTTCCATTCCTTTCCAAGAAATATCCTTTTTTGTACCCCAAAGACTTAATATGCCTTTAGTCTCACCCTCTGCTTTTCCCCCTTTTCTGTCCCTTTTGGCCTCCTACCCTGTTCTATTTGCTTGCTCTTTCCCTTTGCTGTACTGCAAATTTACTATGGGTATCATTATTTTGTAAGGGTTCACAAAGCTAATGAAATTCAGCAGCACACTTTGGTGGTGTTTAGCAGCCCTTGCTTCATCCAAATCATTAGGACATCAGATCTTATTTTCACTAATAGGGTTGAATATAAAGATGCATGTATGTCTAAATCAGCTGGGGCCCTACCTGGTTGTTACTGAAAAGACAAAACACAGTTGAGATTTCTAATCCCCCAAGCACACACATACAGGGGCATAGGCCATAAAAGCCATTGCTGAAGAGAAAATATTTTTGTGAAGTGTCGAATGAAATCTTGCTTTCTTCATACTCAAATGAAGTTTTGCCATCAGTGCCATCAGGATGTTACCTGCAACACTGGGCCTGGGTTGGTTTTCTGGTTTTGCAGCTGTTTGTTACTTCTCATAAACTATCTTAAAGAAAATACTTTGCTTACACACTCTCTTTCATTTCTGCCAGAACATTCCATCAATTTATTGCAGAGACAAGAGTATAATTAGCCATATCCATTCCCTCAAGGGTAGCATAGGACAATATACTGAATGGGCACAAAAGACATGTTAGAAATGGTTCTCCTGGGTAAA